TTTTTGACCAAAGTTATGACTCTGTAATATATTCAGTATTATAATAATATATTCAGTAGATTTGCATGTTTGTAATTACAGTATAAATACTAGTGTCATTAAATGTTTGTAGTCGCTTGTGCTTATTACTTTTTAATACACGCGTTGTTTGTGATAATATTACATGGTGTCAGGAGAAGAAAATGGAGAGATTTTTAAGGCCTCCGCCTGAGATGAATTTCTCAGATATAGAACAGATATATCTTGCTGAAAGATGGAGACCTGACGATGGCGAGAAAGGCTTACTGTATTTTGCGAAACGAAACTTTGCGAAACTGTATTTTGCGAAACTGTATTTTGCGAAACTGTATTTTGCGAAACTGCATTTTGCGAAACTGTATTTTGCGAAACTGTATTTTGCGAAACTGTATTTGATCATGATTCTGCTAGTAGAGTTGGCCGGGATAGATAAATAATGATAGAGGGGGAATCGAGGGTGAAATTTGGGAGCGCGGGGGGGGATTGAAATCACGAATAGTAAACACCACACAAGTTTTGGGTTGCACTTCAAACTAGAAAAATTTAAAACAAGAGTCACAAAACTGTTTTATATGCTTTGTTTTATATGCTTTGCATGTCATTATTACAAACATTCCCCCAAAATTTTGAATTCAAACAATTAATTTCTCTTGAAAATATCAACATCACTGATGTCAGCATTGTTTTGGAACACTGTTTGAAATGTGTTATAAACAAAATTGTGGTAAAAAGCTTGGTAAAAATCAAAACAGAACTCAGTTAACTGCCATAAACAAGAATTTAGATATATTGGCTCAAACTCTCTCTTATTTTAGCATTTTAATTTTTTGCCCCCCAATAGACGCGTTCCCTTCCTTTGACTGAATTAAGATTACGATGCCCCTGGCCCGCCTCTAGTGTTATTTATAATCTCTATGGTGGTGTCGCCATATTTTCTTTCAAAATCAATCCACACCATTTTATATGTACATGTATAAAGTTCCATGTGAAAGCATTCAAAGCAACGTACTGCACTTTGTCTTTGATTTATTTTCAGTCTTTATAAACAAATGTTTGCCAACTCTACTAGCAGAATCATCACAAAATATAGTTTCGCAAAACACAGTTTCGCAAAATACAGTTTCGCAAAATACAGTTTCGCAAAATGCAGTTTCGCAAAATACAGTTTCGCAAAATACAGTTTCGCAAAGTTTCGTTTCGCAAAATACAGTAAGCCATTATGAACAAGCCATTGGAATGATTCTACAGATTCACACAGGGCATATTTCATGATTTGCTACCTGAATTGTCCACATGGTTTACAAGCACATACAGGATATAAATATTAGTTATACACTATCAAGTGTAGATGCCCAAAAATTAAATACTTTTTGAGATATGTAATAAGCGGATGTTTATATGGGGGCGAGGCTGGATGCCCGGGTTAGTGGCTACACTTTTCTTGAGGCAAGATCTCGGGCTAAAGAGGCGAGTTCTCGCTTAGCCAGTGCCTTTTTTAACTATATATCTGGGGGGGGGGGGGGCAGAT